GATATGAGACATAAGACACGTTACCTTCGATGCAGACGACGTGCTCTCGGATTTGTTGGGCGAGAATGGGATCAGAGATGAGATCCAAGAGGTCGTAGATGGCATATATGGATGGGTGGACCGACTCAAACCTCTGGATCTCCTGTCGTATGGACAGACAGTTGTTGTAAAAGCTCTGATTGGACGACACGTTCACCGAAACGGTCGACACGTTTGCGGCACTCGTTGTGGTCTTCGCCGTCAGACTGGGCTTCGAGAGGGGAATGGGTTTCGATGTCGAGGACGACATCGACGCCACCGTCGTCTTCATGGGCTGCACCTGAGGGCCACTCATCTCATTGTCCATCAATCAGATGAGTCCATGGATCAGATGGTGTGATACTGATTGGCGTCCAATCCATTCAAGCGTTTCATTCATTCGTTACACTAATTGTCAGTCGATTTTCACATCAATTACTCGTTCAATGGTTTCAATGAATACAACGATTGCTTTGAAAACAATTCAGTCATTCATTGATTCGTATAATAAAACACTTATTAATGTTAACAACAAAACAAACAAACATTTCATTCAATAGTTGTGTTAAATGTTTGAATCAATCGATGTTTGCATACAAACGCCAAAACACTTCATTCAATCAGATTTAGCGTTAATTGTGTTGTTGTCACAAATGGTTGGGTCCGTCAATCACGTCCCACACACTGTCAACACGTTTTGCACAACATTTTCATTAGATTTTTATTCATTTTTATTACAATTAATGAGATATTAATTACAATTAAATGACAAACGAGTGAATACTTGTAATTAACATTATATATGATATTCAACGACAATATGATGTGAAATATGGTGGAAAGGGATGCAAACATATATTTGGTTACGTTTTGTATGTTTGACACAACATTTGAATCAACAAAACATTGAATTGTGTTTTCATTGGATTGAGTGGTCAGTGGATTCAGTAGTCAGTGAAGACACAATTGAAGGATGAGTTCAACGAAGAAGTTATCGCAGAAGGAGTTGAGGGAAATGATGAGAGATAGGGTGCAATCCAAAGACAGTCAAAGCCTGCCATCGGATGACAAGAAGAAGACAATAGACTCGCCGTTAGCTCGATATGACTCACGAGGAATACTGTCGTGTATTATCTGTCAACAGACCATCTCTTCAGCCACTCTCTGGTCATCGCATATCATCTCGAAGTCACACAAAATGGTATTTGATTTGCATTTGACTTGATTTGAAGAATTGGTGTTTGAATGGATTGAATGATTAATTGACAGAAAATGGATGAAATGAAGAGAAG